TTTGTGTGATGCAAATTTAATCCTTGATGCAAGTGTTGAGAGGCAGGACCCTTAAGAGAAGATAGTCACAAGAGGTCTGCCCTCATAAAAAGACTACTGACATTAACTCAAAAATGAGTTCTTAGAAAAACAGTGTATTTTAAAAGTAAGTTTAGGCCTCTCTTTGTTCTTACACTCTCTTGCTCTTCTGTCTTCCACTACAGGACACTGAAGCAAAGCCCATTGGGTAGAGCCTATTGAATTTCAAACCTCCCAGCCTCTAAAACCATTAGCCAAATAAATTTCTTTTCTTTATAGGTTACCCAGTCTTTGGCTTTGTTACAGTAGCAGCAAACAGGCTAAGACAGATTGTATGGTAAGTAACATGTCTGGTGAAGGTTAGTTGTTGGGTGATGAAAGTATTATGCTTACACAGAAAAATGGCTTTAGTCTTAAAAATGTTTAAGGATGAAGTACCATGACAGCTGAAATTTACTTTCAAACTGTATAAGGATAAAGTAAAGCTTTATATAAGAGGAAACAAGAAACTAACGTCAAAAATATACTGATCAGTATAAGTTAAAAATATATGAATGCTACTATACTGCTCTTTCAGTTTTTCTCAAGGTTTTCAAGATTTTCAAAATACAGCTGATAAACACCATCATTTGAATATGTGTTAAACATGATTAATTTTTCTTCTATTCTGATTCGGCTTAAAATTTATAACTAAAATATTAATACAATTCACTAATTTTAAAATGATTTTTCAATGACTAGCTTTTCCCTCAAATTTTGGTAAAAGAACTTTGCTGGAAACATGATAATGTTTATAAAGATTTTATGTTACACACATAAAATTTATACCCAATGTTTAAAAACATAAATACCAATGTAAATATTAGACTTTGGATTCCTGATGACACTTGTATTACATTAATCTATGTGTTTCCAAACCTGACTTTTCCTAAATATCAACCATTATTCTAACTGTTCATGAGATATGTCTGCAAACTAAAGAGGAAAAAATATAAAAATCACTCCTCCAACCCACACTACTTCCCCAGCCAATTCATATTCCAGAATATTCCATGCATTATTCTCCCAACAGTTTTAGTTCAATACCTTAGTAGCTAGCTTAAGTTTCAAAATCTTTTCCTACTGGATGCAAGTAATCAAGAAATTTCTGTCAAGCCTCTGGCTCTTCATAGCCATAACAGAATGGAGGCTTTGATAACTCATCCAACAATGTAGTCTATTATGCATTGTATGTGTCCCCCCAAAATTCCTGTTGAAGCTGTAACCCTCCATGTGATGGGAATTGTGGTAGAGACCTTTGAGAAGTAATTATGGTTAGATACATTCATGAAAGTGAAGTTTGCATAACGGGGTTAGTCTTAGGAGAAAGAGATCCAGATTTCTCTTTTCCCAATGTATAAGAACACAGAAGATGACACCATCTGCAAGCCAGGAAGAGGACCCTGACCAAGGAGTGAATTAATACCTGAAGAGTAGCTGTGAGAAATAGACTTCTATTGTTTAAACCGCCTAGTCAGTGGTATTTGGTTTTAGCATCTGAATTAAGAAATAGTCCCTATGAAAATAGCTTAGAATGCTCACTAAACAAGATCAGCACTCCTTGGAGTAGGAAAGAATCTGATTTCCAGAGCTACCACAAAAATTACAAAGCATGCAAAGAAACAGAAGTATGTCCCATTTATAGAGGAAAAAAAAATTAGGAGAAAACATCCCTGAGGAAGCCCAGACCCTGGCTATACAAGACAAAGACCATAGTAGTCTATTTAAGCTCAAAGAGTGAAGAAATCTATAGCCAAAAAAAACAAAGGAAAACAAGTGAAAATGTGGAGAATACCAATTTAAAAAGACAAAAATTATTAAAAGGAACCAAACAAAATTTCTGAAGCTAAAAAGTACAATAACTGAAATGAAAAATTCACCAAAGGAGTTCAGCAGTGGATTAAAAAAGGAAAAGAAAAAATATATGAACTTGAAGAAGGAGCAATTGGAATTACCTATTCTGAGTAACAAAAAGGAAGAAAAATGATCAAAAACTAGGAGACTTATAGGACACCACAGAGATACAACAAGCATACCCATTATGGAAGTTTCATAAGGAAAGTAAAGGAACAAAAAATACTAAAGAAATAATGACTGAAAACTTTCCAAATCCAAACTCCAAATAGAATAAACTCAGATTCACAACAAGACACACTAGAATCAAACTACTAAAAGACAAAAACAGCAAGTAAGAAACAATTATTTCATCAGCTATAAGAGCTCCTCAGTAAGACTGACAGCAGATTTCCTTGTAGAAGCCATAAGGTCAGAAAATAAGGAGATGATGTATTTAAAAGGCTGAAAGAAAACACTGCCAATCACAAATTCTTTATGCATCTGGACATGGTGGCCACACCTGTAACCCCAGCACTCTAGAAAGTGGATGCAGCAGGATCACAAATTCAAGCCCAGCCTGGGCAACTTAATGACTTTGTAAGAAACCTGTCTCAAAATGAAAAAACAAAAAGGCCTGAGTATGTATCTCAGTATGGAGACCTTGGGTTCAATTCTTTATACCACAAGGTAAAAGAAAAAAAATGCTATATCCAGCAAAAGCATCCTTCAAAAATGGAGGCAATGGCAGGGATCTTTGTACATATCTGTAACTCCAGCTAATTGGAAGGCTGATACAACAGGCATCAGCCTAAGCGACTTACTGAACTCTATTTCAAACTAAAAAAAAAAAAAAAATTAAAGGTTTAAAATATAGCCTAGTGCAAGGCTCTGGGTTCTGGCTTCACAAGCTCCTTGTGAAGAAAAAGTTTAAAATGGAAAATTGCTTTGAACTGTTAAAAAAAATGCAAGTGTCAAAACAGCAATCCTAAAATAATTCTTTAATAATAATGATGATCTGAAGCATTCCAAAGTAAAAAATTAAAGTGTTCAAATAAAATGAGTAATAGACCTGTATTATTAGATGCAAAATTCTGATAAAAGGAAAAGACCAACAATAAAATTATCAACTTTTCTGGCTTAAATCCACCTAACATTAACAGACTCAGACCAAAGATATATACATACAAATCATATATAGAGTTTAAACTGAACAGAGAGCTAAGAACTAAGGAGAGTGAGGAATTACAAAGGTGATAGTATCTATCAAGATTTGTGGTTTGCAAAGATCATCCAAATCTAGTTACTCAAGGGAATGATCCAGAAGTTACAAGGTAAGTGTCAGAGAGAAACTAGAAATTTTAATTTCTAATTAAAATTAAAATTATGAAGTATTTTGCAGTTATTGGTAACAATGAAATTAAGTATGCAATTACAGGAATGAGTATCTGAAGGAAAATGGAAGACAAGATGATTGTAAAAGTTCAAAGAACTGATAGGTCAACATGTTGGAACAATCATGTATTTCAACACTAAAATCACTAAAAATAATATGGAAGGAATGCTAAAGAAAATGAAAGCAAGCCATGAGAAAGGCGATGCGATCACCCAGAGGTCAGCAGATGGTTATCATGAGGGACGTGAGCAGTTAATCTGACTACATGAACGGCAAAGCTAGGGGATTTTCTTGAGGAAGGAGATCTGAAATTGGCAATTAAGAGCAGAGAAGGCCTTATACCAGAGTCACCAGGAACAGCGGTAGAGTAAAAAGCATGCTCCAAAATAAGTTTAGTAAACACAAAAGTAATACCCAACATACATCGTTTTACTACAATTCAGTAACACTTACAACTGAGAGGTCCTGCTAGAGGTCCAGGGGAGAAATCACAGGTTTCCCAGAGTGAACTTCATAGGAAATTCAATGAGATGCTACGTGTTCAAAATGAATAATGGCCAAAGATTCCCAATGGCAAAGATGCCCAACTTAAGGGAAGGCATACGAACATAAGGAGGACATTCATTTTCTCAGAAATACCAACAGCTCAACATGATTCAGGGCAGAATGAGGTAAGAGGCAGGAAGTAGAGGTGGAAAGGTACAGCACGGACACTATTCCCTCTGCTAATATAAAAATAAGAAATAATATGGACAAATTAAACAGCTGTCATGAAAGCCTCTCATGGTGAACAGAAGTGACTGATTTTAGTTTCAGCTTAATTTCTTTACTTTGATGAAGATGATAGAAAATAATCCAGAAGGCAGTAGCTTTATGAAGGTTAACAAATATTTACAGAATTGACTGCTTCTACACTGTGTAGACAAGTTTTGATTATCATAATATCTAATATTTAAAATATACCAAGGAAAATTATGTACTAAGATATTTTTCAAACAAATGAAGAGCTCAAACATAAATGTGCTAGCTCTAGTTTTCTTTTTAACATGTATATATGTAAACATGTGTATGTAGCTACATATAAATGCAAATTGTTTTACCATTTAAAAAAGTACTATAAGAGAACGTATTAATACTGGTATAACCAACTTTTATAAATAATGAATCTTAGAAACATTACACTGAGAAAGGTGTATGAGTAGCTACCCACTGCAACACTTGCTCTGTTTCCATTTTACTTTAGCTCTATGATTTAATGGAAAGAGCACTGTACCTGAGGGTCAAAGAACACATATTCAAGTGCTGGCATTGCCACTGGTGAGCTATTTAGTCACCTAGCTTTTCTATGCCTGAATTTGTTAATTTAAAAAATGGAAATTTAAAAATTTCCAATGGTTGTCTAAAGGTTTTTAGGAGGGACTGAACCTGAAAGAGCTTTATAAACCACAATAAAATTATTTACAGACTTCAAAATGTTATTAATAGAGAATTAAAAGTCTGAGTGATCCACCAGCCCCCACTCCAAAACATAAAGCACAATTAACCTGTGATGGGATGATCAGCTGATAGTTTGATAAGCATGTCTCACCACCTCGCTTCATAACCTTACCTTTGAATGAGCAGGCCCGCTTTCATTCAGAAGTTTATACTGGGGTTGGATGCTATTGAAACGGGCCAACTCATTTACCAGACACATTGGAGTTTTCTCTTTGGGTTTTGCCATTTTATCTTGGAGAGAAGCTGTAAATAAAAAGGCTGTAAAGTTTTTGTCAAGAATGACTTCACAAAATGGAAGCAACACTAATTTTGACTTTTTAGACTGAAATCAGATTGTACATTTAATTATTTTCACAAATTTTGTATTTAGAAAACTGAAATCCCCTAATGTCTTCCACTGCATGCAACAGGAATATGTATCACACTGCAAAAAATAAATTAACATATTTCTCTTAAGGAACTAAGATGTGGTATGCACACACAAATAACGGCATACTTAAAGGCTAAAATAAATTGTAACTTTTACTTTAGGTTATAAATTTTCCTTCCCTCCCCCAAAAATGTATCATAAACACATAAATCTCTTGACCTGTAGTACTATAAAGCTAAACTCTGTCTATCCTTTTTAGTCTTTTTTTCCTTCTTTTTCTTCTCATTTTGAGGCATCATAATAGCAGAAAAAGTTCTAGATTTGAGAATAAAGGCTTAAGTACCAGCTCTTTCAACTATTTTGAAAACCCTAAACAAATTAACTTTTATTTTAGTATTTTAAAGACAATTTTAAAAGAAAGTAGAAAAAAATAATTTCATAAACATCCATCTACTTAATGCCTACAACTGAAATTGTTAATTAACATTTTTCAAGTTTGCTTGAATCCAGATTATTTAATATAACATAATTACCCGTCTTTTAACTTAAAAAATTAGTTTCAGTTAAATTCCTTGTATCTTTTCCAGAGATTAATACTACTGTATATGAATTTACAATATACTCTTCCAGGATATTTAAGATACATTTATAGGCATACTTGTATATTCATGAGAAAATACATAGTCTTGATAATCAATATGCGGCTTTATTAAACAGTATTATAGTAAACTTAAAATTTTCACAATTTACTATTAGCTTTTTTCCCCTTTCTAATGCTGGGGAAAAGCACTCTTCAAAAATGGAGTAGATATTGGGCATGGTTGTACACAATTGTAACCTCAGCTAATTGGGAAGCTGAGGCAGAAGGATCACAATTTGAGACCAGCTGAGCAAATTAATGAAATGCTTCTATTTCAAAATGAAGCAAGCAAGCTAGCTAGCTTTAAAAAATTGCGAGCCTAGTGGTGGTACACCCTTGTAACTCCAATACTCAAAAGGCTGAGGCAGGAGGATCACCACGAATTGAAGGCTAGCCTGAGGCACATAGTGAATTTAAGGTTAGCCTGGACAATACAGCAAGACTTCATATTCAAAAACCAAAAGAAAAAGAAAAAGAAAACAAGCTAGCCTAAAACTCAGCAATCCTTCTGCCTAAGCTTTCTAAATGCTGGGATTACATGTGTAAACCACCATACCCAGCTAAGACTGCCATTTACAGAGTGCCATATGATTTTTCAGGGGATGTTTTCACATCGGTCATTTGTTGATATCTATGTGACTTTGAGAAAATATTTATGTAGTATGGTTCAAAAACACAGTGAATGCTTAAATTGAAAAAACAAATTTACAGTAAAAAGACACGCTGTCATTATTTCCCTCCACATAATCTGTATTACTTCAAACACACTTGTTTCACTATTCTTGCTGCTTTCTGAACAGCAGCTCTAAAAAGTCCTCTTTTGTGAATGTCTATTGTCTTGAATTGATTCAAAACATTTACCTTTCATGGTCATTTGACTTTGGAGAAGCCAGACAGCTGGTGAAAACAGTGGATAAGGACATACTGTAATTTTTTTACAAGACCACCTTCCTGCTGACGGTACTGGCAGTGGCATTCACCGTATTTTTTACTACACCTCATGAAGACACTCACCAAACAGGATTTCCAGAACTGCTTCAGAAAGTGGCAAAAGTGATGAGATGAGTGTGTCTGAACTAGAGGTGAGTATTTTGGGAAGATTAATAGCAATCTGCCTTTTACTGTAATAAACTTAAACATTCACCACACATTTGGATCAGAACTGATAAATCTGATTTTCTATACAGTAAAATAGGAATAACTTTTTATCTCACTTCAGTTGTGTGAACTGAATCAGACAATATAAGATAGAGTTAATTATAATTAAGAATCCATTATCATTCTAATTTTGAATATTTCTTAAAACACATAATCGTCAAATAAATCTACTAATATCATTCTATAAATTTCTTTTATGGCTTTCTAAGTGCCTATATTCTGAATTAAAATATTCTTCTGGGGAGAAGTTGATTTTACTCATACAAATGTACTTCTTAGTATTTTGTGAAAAGCATGTTAGTCATTATTTTTTACTACTGATTTACAAAGCCAGAAATTTGCTTTCAATGAAAAAATCCTAAGCATGATATAAACTACACTTTAAGATTTCCTGTGTTAAAATATTCTATTTTATTTACAAGTAACTCACCAAACTTTGAGGAAAAAAAAAAACTACTAATATAATAGCATGTCCAACAAAAACAAACATACTTTTTTTTTTTTAGACAAATGCTATTTTTTTATCTTTACAAAATGTGTTGGGTTTTCTGGGACTTGAATCTTCAAACTATCCCAAAATAATGTAGCTTACAGTTTTCAACAAACAACCAAAGACCTCTATCCTCAAAGGAGCTCACAGTCTAAAAGAATTAACAGACATATAAAAATAAAAACAGAATAAATTATAATCCACATAAACCCCTTCATAGGCAAAGGGATGTGGGAAGACAGGTTTTAAGAGGTAGTAATTAGGTTAAAAACAAACAACAAACAACAACAAAAATAAATAAATAAAAGAGACGCACTAGGTAAGAAGACTAGAGAGAATAGACCAGGCTTCTCAAAGATGAAAAAGAAAGCACATGAAACATCACATTCTGGCAAATATAAGTAGAACATGAGCAGAATACAGAATAAATGGAAGGAAACAGTAAGACAAAAATGTAACTAGAATTCAACAGAACAGCAAAAGCAAGTCAGAATTCAGAGCAGCAAACATTCAAAAGGTAGCTGTGCCACGGTTGCTGTGAACACAAATCATAGTCTGCTTTAGCGGTCAAAGCAAAATCTCTCCACAGGACACTCCATTTCCCTGCTGGTCCCAGAAACGATTTGGACCCGGTTCTATGCCTTTTCCAGCTCCTTTTCCCTTCTTCTCTGCTGCTAGTGGGAACTCATATAATACAAGTAAATTAAAAATTTAGAAAAAGGAAAAAAGTGAAAAGAATCAAATATCAGAAGAGCAAAGGAATTTAATGCTCTTGCCTTGTAGGAGAAATGTCACTGTCTACAGTTACAACTCAAACTGACCTGGAAACTCCAAATTAGTCCTTAACCCAAGGCTGTCCAAGCAGAATCACTAATAGCTACTCAGACAAACTGCTGTGTTAGAGTTGACTTTCTATTATGAAAAAGTTCCTGACTCACAAAAGGAGTAAAGTCCATAAGTATTAAAATGAAAAAGATACAAATACCACAAAAGCACTAGAAAATTCAAATATTTGTCATAACATACCACAGAAGGTCTTTCTAGATAAGACAAAAAACCTTGAAGCCCTTACAGAAAAAACTGACAGTTAAAAACCTAACAATAGAATAGTTCAGGGAAGCAAAACACACAATAGATGATACTTTAGAAACTATCTCTAAATCGGGCATGGTGGAACACACTTATAATTCCAGAACTCTGGAGGCTGAGGCAGGAGAATCACTAAAGTTTGATCCCAGTCGGGCCAATTTAGCAAGATTCTGTCCCGAAATTAAAAACAAAGGGCTCAAAAAGAAACTCAATCCAAAGATTCTGATTTATTCCACGGTATCACAAGAACAAACAGATCCCACACACACAAAAAAAAAACCTATAAACTAGTGGATAATACTTGCAACATATGAGGACAAATAGTTAATATCCACATAATATGAAAATAATGTAGATCAAATTTTAAAAGCCAATAGAAAAAAGGGTAAATGTATAGAATCAATTTGCATAATTTACTGAATAAAGATGTTTTGAAATTTATTAAACAGCTCAAATTTCAGTGAGATAATTTTCCCTATTAGGCCACCTAGGACTGACTTAATTAATTTGACACTGTAACACTGTAGCTTGTAATAGAGTAACATGATGTTGCAATATAGGAATACACTGTGTAATACTGATACAAGCTAAGCCTAGCTATCTCCTCAAACATTTGTCTTTTTCCCCACTGTGGTTTTTTGAGACTGAGTCTCATTATATAGTCCCGATTGGCCTCAACTCACTATCCTGCCTCAGTCTCCGGAGTGCTGGGATTTCAGAGGTGTAACACCACATGCAGTTCACTTATATTTCTTTACAGTAAAAACTTTCAGATTCCTTCCTTCTAGGTTTTTAATATACTGTACACCACTGTTACATTTTTGATGTTTGTGTAAATATTGGCAAGGATATGGAGATACAGGTGCAAACTCTTACTGGTGCAAATATAAATTAGACTTTTGTTATACAATGTTTTATGCCTTAGATCTAAAAGGTTCTTATGCCCAACTATTTCGAAGAAAAGAGACATTATGGTAGCTTCTGTTGATGTCCTGTTGTCTGGTTGTGAACTGCTGTGTTGCTTGCATTGTTCTGATTTGCTTTGCTCTGTTTTTTATTTTATTCTCTTTAAAATAAAAAAAAATTTTTTTTTAAAGATCTAAAATGTTCTCAAAAAGTCTCATGCATTCAGAGGTGGGGGATTCTGAAAAGTGATGGCATCACAGGGGTGTTATACTCATCAGTGGATTAACACATCAATGAGTTCACAGCCAAACATGCTGTTAGAAGGTGGAGCTTTGCTGGAAGAGCTTAGTCGGTTGAGGACGTGATCTGGAGAGGACGCGATCTGGAGAGGACGCGATCTGGAGAGGACGTGACCTGGACGGGTGTGTCCTGGTGCCCTGTTCCACATTTCTCTCTGCTTCCCAGCTGCCACAGGCTGAGCACCTTTGCTCCCTCAAGCTTTTCCGTAATGTCCTTTCAGTCTTGGAGTCAGCTCAAAGTACACCTCTCCTCCTTTAAACTGTGGGTGTAGCTTAGCCAATAACCCCCATGCCTAGCAAGCGCTAGGTCATGAACTCGACCCCCCGGTACCAAAAAATAAAAACTAAACTGTGGGGGCTGGATATTTTCTCCCAGCAATGAAAAATGAATACAGAAAACTGGTACCTGATACAGTGTCATATCAGTGATTGACCATGACCTGTCCATGTGGTTGACCTGACCATGTGGTTCAGAAGTCTTTGGAACTGCTTTGTGGGGAAAGTTTGGGGAAGTAGGATGGAAAAAAATACAGATGGTTATAAGCAGTTTGACAGGCAATTCCAGTCCAAGCTCATAAGCAGAAAGAAAAGGTGAGGTTCCTCAGATTTCAGCTGAAAACAAGAAGTCCTTCGCAAGTTAAGACTAGGGATCATGCATGTTATACTCTAAAAACTGTCTACATTTCACCAGTGTCCTTTAATTTTGCAGCAGGCCAAATTTAAGAGCTATGAACCAAGCCAGGCATGGTGGGGCACATGTATAATCCCATCACTCGGGAGACAGAGGCAGGAAGATCACAGTGAGTTTGAGGCCAGCCTGGGCTACAAGTTTAAAGTCAGCCTGAAGCATATAGTGAAACCTTGACTCAAAACAGACCAAAAAAAATTTTTTTTTAATTTTTTAAAAAGAGCAATGGGCCAGTTAATGTGGCAAAGGACATTTGAAGGCAGCTCAATGTTTAGGTTTTGGCGTGAGTACTGCTGACTACTTTCAGATTACTTTCTTCTGCAACCTTTGGGACTTATCTGATCTTTTTCTGGTTTCTTAAGGTGGAAACTGAAATGGTTTACTTTGGATCTTTTCCCTTTTCTGATATAGACATTTAGTGACACAAATACTAAGAACTGTCTAGTGGTATAAGTACTAAGAAGAGTTCCCTGAGTAGTGTTTTAGTGCTTCATCTTCTATGGCATTCTTACTATGTTTTACTGTCATTATCACTCAGCTTAAAATACTTTACATATTCCTTTTTTTAAAAGGATAAGGTCTTGTTAAAGATGCCAACTGGGCTTGAATTTGTTAGCCATAGACTGCTTGTATGTAACTCAATTTCCAAATATTTGAGGCATTTCGAAAGTTCTTTCTGCTAATGACTTCTAATTGGATTCCAATAATCGAACATTCTTTTTATAATTTGGAACTGTTTGAATTTATTGAGAATTATCTTATGGCCTAGCAACTATTTTATATTAGTAAATACAATGGAAAAATGTGTTTTCTGCTCTTCTTAGATGAAGTATGCTATAAGCTTTGATGACTTCTTGTTTGTTATTTATTGAGAAGGGTTACTAAAATCTGATTAGAATTTCTTGAATTTCTTGAGTTTCTAAATTTTCTTTTCTTTTGTATCAGGGATCAAATTTATGACCTCACACTTGCCAGACAAGCATTTGTGCCACTGAGCTATGTCTCTGGCTCAAGTTTCTGAATTTTTATTAGTTTAAATACATAAACATTGGAGTTCTATTAACCTATTTTTCTTTATAAATGAAGTGACTTTCTTCCTAGTGATAGTCTTTGCTTTAAAACCTACTTTGCCTAGTCTAATGTATCAATTCAACATTCTTTTCAGTTTACCATTTTATGTCGTTTTCTAGTCTTTCACTTTTATTCTATTTGTGAATTTGTTGTAAGCATGCATACAGTTGGGTCTTCCGTTTTATACAATCTGACAATTTCAGCTTTAAATTGGAATGCTAAGACTATTCATCTTCCATGTGGTTATTCACATGGCTATGTTTGAGACTATCACCTTGCTATGTTTTATGTTTGTCTTATTTGATCTTTGTTTCCTTTTTCATTTTCACATGGTTTCTGTTGGATTTTGTTGATCCCACTTTATCTCTTTTTTTCCTGCTTATTAGTGATAAATCTCTGTTATTTTAGTGGCTCCTTTAGCATACATCTTTATTAAAACCACCTCATAAACCAAAACTTGTAGCATAGACCATAATCCCAGCACTCTGGGAGTCCAAACAAGAGGATCATACATTTAAGAATAGCCTGGACAATTTAGTGGCTTAGTGAGACTGTCTCAAAACTTAGAAAAGGACTGGAGAGACAGCTCGGTGTTCACTGTGAGGGTGACTCTGGGTCCCATCCCCAGTACTGAAAGGGAAAAAACAGAAAACCTCAAGCAGAGGACACAAACTATCCCATGTTTGGGACACAAACTAGCATGTTTCCTTTTCATCCCCTCCTGTCGTAAACTATGAACAATCATTTCACTTTTATGTATCTCATAAACCCCACAAAAGTTTGATAATATTTTTACTTTAAATAGTGAATTAACTTTTCAGGACATTTAATAAGGGAAAAAACCTTTTACGTACTTGCCATTTCTGACACACTTCTTTTATGGAAACCTGTATTTGCAATCTAGTACTATTTTCCTGCTATCTGCAGGACTTTTCTTTCAGACAAGGAGCATCACTGATACATCCATGTGTATACTGTCTTTATTTCTGATTTTGAAATGTATTTTCCCATACAGAATTCCAGCTGATACTTTTCATCTTGCAGTACTGTGCAGATGCTACTCCACTGCTTAGTTGCTTGCTTTGTTTCTGATAAGAACACTATCTTTATCATCCTCTACACATAACATGACCATGTATTTTTTTCTCTGATTTAAAAATGTTCTATTTAACATGTGAATTTATAATGTACCTGGTAGTCTGCTTCATGCTCCTTGTACTTCAAATTCATTTAATTTCTCTGATCCATAAGTTTCTGTTTTTTTATGGTTTATATATAGATGTCCTCCCAAAGCCTCTGGCACTCAAAAGTGGAGTTTATGAAATATGATTGGATTATTGGGGCTTATGCTGACTTGCTATTAAGAAATGCAGCCGTTATTTCTTGAAGAAGTTGTTAAGTCATTCAGATGTCCATGCTGAGCTCAAATTTGTGATTTGCTACCTTAGCCTCCCACAGTGCGAAGATTACAGGGGAGTACCATAAACTCAGCTCATTAACAGCATATTAATGTCAACTCTTTTTACATCTTTGCCTTTCAGATCAGTCCTCTCTTTCTAATCAGTAGTTTTATCTGAGCTGAGTCATATTTATACTCTTCTTTGAAAACAATTTTTAATCAAGTGAAATGAAAGAACATCAAATTAATCCATTTGAAGTAAACAGTAGTGGCATGTAGTACATTCACAGTAGTATTCGACCAACACCTATATATCTAATACAAAACATTTTTATCACTCCAAAACATTTTACCATTCCAGAAGGTCTCAATCTCATTCAGTAGCTGCTCCCCATTCCTCCTTGCTCCTAGGCCCAGAAACCACTAATCTGCATTCTATCCCTATGGACTATATGTTCTGGATACTGCATATAAAAGAAAACGTTCATAGGTCAACATTTCGTATCTGACTTCTTTTATTTAACATGTTTCCAAGACACATCTGCATTGTCCCATGTATCAGTATTTCTCTTTAAGGCTAAATATTTTATGGAATGTAAACATTTCAATTTGTTTACTAATTCATACACTGACTGGTATTTGGGTTTCCATTACTTGTCTGCTGAAAATAGTGCCATCAATGCAAATACCACATAGAAGTATTTGTTTCAGTGCCTGTTTTCAATTCTTTCAAGTATATTCTGTACACAGAAATGGAATTGCTGGGCCACATGTAAATTCTATACTTTGAGGAACAAATTCATTTTCACAGTGGCTGAACACTCCCACCAGCAACACAAGTTTCTCCATAGCCTCACAAATACGAGCTTTTGTTGATCTTTTTGTTGTTGTTGATCTCCCGATTCCAGTATCTCATTGTGGTTTTCATTTGCATTTCTCTAGTCATGAATAGTGTGAACACTTTTTTTCATGTACATTTTGGGTGCTTGTATATCCTGTCTGGAGAAATGTTTATTCAAGTATTTTGCTTATTTTTTTGGGCTGTGTTTTATTGCTCCATTCTAAGAGTTTTGGTTCTCATATTTAGGTAACATTCATTTTTAATGTGATTCAGGATTGGGAATCCAACTTCATTGTTCTGCCTATGTATCGCTAGTTGTTCCAGAATAACTTACTGAAGAAATAATTTTTTACTTATTGAGTCAATTTGCCTATGTGTATTTCTGAGAATTTGTTATTCAATCTGTTTGCTTATAATTGCTCATTATATTTTCTTTAATCTTTTTTCATTCTTGAAGGTCAATAGTACTGTCTCCACATTCAATTCTGATTGGGAAGGGAAGTACTAGGACTTGAACCCAGGGCCTTTGCACTGAGCTACAGCCTCAGCCCTCTATTTGTGAGACAGGTTTCCACTATGCTGCAAAGTGGCCCAGGGTGGGTTTAAACTTGCAGTCTCCCTGCCTAAGCCTCCCAGAGTGCTGGGATTATAGGCACAAGCCACAGCTTGATCTTTTGTTGATTTTGTGAATCTTTTGAGAAGAACGAACTTTGATTTCACTGTCTGTCTGTATTGCTTTCCTTTCCTCTATTTCCTCTCTGGTCTTTTTTTTTTTTTTTTTTTTCCTGCTAACTTTGAATTTAATTTGCTACTCTTTTTCTAGGTTCCCTGAGGTATAAAGTTAATCTTTCCTTTTAATGTAGGTATTACCATTACTTGTTCTCCTGTGAGCACTGACTGCATCAAATAAGTCATGCACAATGATTTGTCTTCATTTTCATTCATCTTCAAGCATTTCCTAATTTCCCCTGATTTTTCTCTTTAACTTTTTAAGAACACATATAATTCCACATATAGTCATCTCCTAGTATCTGTAAGAGACTGGTTACTAGACCCAACCCTCACCCCCAAGGATATCAAAATCTGAGGACTCCTTATACAAAGTGGCATAGTATTTATACAACCTATGAACATCTTCCCATATTCTTTAAGTAACAAAATTACTTACAATATCTAATAAAATAAAGATGGTATGTAAATATCTGTTATATTACATTTTTTAAAGAATTAATAATAAGGCTGGGCATGATGATATATGCCTATAATCCCAGAACTCAAAGGCCTGAGGCAGGAGGATTGCAGTAAATTTGAGGCCAGCCTGAACTGCACAGTGGAACTCTGTCTCAAAAAAACAAATGATAATAATAAGAAGAAGAAGAAGAAAAAAATCTTCACATGTTCAGTACAGATGCCTTTTCTTTATAAATATTTTCAGTCTGGGATTGGCTGAATTCACGGATGTAGACCCCACAAATACGGGTGACTACTGCATTTGTAAACTTTCTAGTACTCTGTTACTGATTTCCAACCTTATTCCTTTATGGTTGGAAAAGCTAATCTGTATGATTTCAAATTTTGTTTATTGAAAATTATTTTGTGGTCTCACATATTACGAGAATGATGTATGTTCACTTAAGTGTGTTTGGCTGTTGGTGGGTGTTCTGCATTATGTCTATGAGGTCTAGCTGGTTTACTATTCAAGTCTTCCATCTCTTTGCTGAGTATCACCTCTGCTTCGAGTTTTATCCATTATTCCAAGTGAGGCGATCCTTGGCAGGGTGGGGCGGGGCAGGGTTGAAGCCAGGCATATTCTACCACAGGGCTATATTCCAACCCTTTTTATTTTTTGAGATAGGGTCTCACCATGTTGCCCAGGCTGGCCTCAAATGATCCTCCTGCCTCAGTTTCCTGAATGGCTGGATTACAGGCATGTACTACCACTGCACTCAGCCCAATTTTTTTCTGGATGACAATAACTAAATTCTACATTGTTGGGTTCTTATTGTGTTATATTTCTCCACTATGTACACAGTATTTTAGTGTGTACACTAAACTTTAAACTTACTTTGAATCACTTTGAGCACTGTGCTGGCTTTTTGTTTTGTTTTGTTTTTGTTTTTTGAGACAGTTTCCCCATGAACTGGCCTTGAACTCACTATGTCGCCCACATTGGCCTGAAACTTGCAGCAATCTTACTTTCTCAGCCTCCAGAGAGCTGGGATTATAGGTGTACACCACCACACCTGGCCCTCTAGTGACTTTTTCCAAGGCCTTGTGTTTTTAAAATGCCTTTCACTATAGGCTATGTAAACACAAGTTATTTACAAACTTGAAGCTCTACAAATCAAAGACTCAAGGGGAACTCTCTGCAGAAGTCCAGGAAGCAAAGACATCTGACTATATACACACTCTCCTTTTTCAGTGTGCACTGCCCCACCCCGCAGCTCTTTCTTCCTCAGGACTGTGCCCGCGATGCTAATCATACCATGGCCTTCCCAAGTTCTTTTCTTTTCCTCAGGGTCTCAACAAGACTGCTGGACTGTTTTGGTTCCTTCTCCTCCTGAAGTAAGGAAACTGAGGCTAGTGAAGGTGAATCTTTTAGAGCTTTCAAAAACAACAAACAGCCCGCTATGGTACTCTGCGGTGCCACAGGTTCACTACTGCTGCTTAGGCTTTTTCTGCAGAGGGGACAGGTGAGGCACTCTCCCGCATTAGTTTCCACTTCCTAAAAAATCACAGTTGCTTGGCATCTAATGTCTAAAAACTGTGTTCCCATATTTTAAATGTTCTAACCTTGTTTAATTACCCTCAACTTCACTGATTTTAAAAACAAGGTGGGGTTTTTTTTGGTTTTTTTTTTTTCCAGTTTCTGAGGGTTGGCAATTAGGGAGCAGCAAAGCTGTGTTGTTTTAGTTCAGGATTGCTTGTGAGGCTGCAGTCAAGAAATCAGTAGGGGGTCTGGGGGATTTAGCTCAGCGGCATAAGCGCCTGCCTTGCAAGCAGGCAGTCGTGAGTTCGATACCTGGTACCGATAAAAACGAAAAAGACAAAAAAAAAAAAAAAAAAAAGAAAGAAAAAGAAAAGAAATCAGCAGGGCTGGATTACAGGCCTGGAAGCTTGAGAAGGTTGAGAACATGAGCTTCCACGCAGGCTCACACATATGCTGTTGACCTCAGTTCCTTGCTGCCTGCTGGCAGAAGGACTCAATTACTCATGCTAAGGACCTCTCATCAAGCTGTCCACGTGTTGGCAACTAACTACTCTCATAATCATCAAAACAAGGCAAAGATGGGGTGGGGGAAAGAGACAGGGAAAGAGGGATGGGGGCAAGAAAAAAGGACAGAAGCTGTCACGTACTTTATGAATAACCTGTCCTCAAAATAATCTACCACTCAAGCCATGTTCTCTTGATCACAAACCAACTCCAGAATAAATACATGTAAACAAGTAAAAGTACTCTTTATACATTTTAACCACACATTTATTATTTTTCTTACCCTCTAACCATAGACTATCTTCTGGCTACAAGGCAGAAGGGGCAGACTGTAGATTCTACTCCACAATCAAGAGTTAGAGGGAAATAAGAGGAAAAAGTTCCTACCACCTATGGCAAGAGAAAAAACACTTGAAGCCAAGTAGCTCCTTCCTCTACAAATGCTCAGTGAAGTACCTCAGTGTGTGGTCCTCTGCCTTTCTTTCCCCCCAATCTCCAGAGCCAGGCAGCAAGAGAAAAGCAAGATTAATGGTATAATTAACCAGGTAATATCAGGACCAGTGTTAAATATTTTGCCTTTGCCAATTCAATTATTCCTCACAACAAATCTGTGAGATACATCATTATTCCTTAAATTCTAAGTCTTTTGTTTCTCAGCCACTGTATCTTGGCTTTACCGTGCTGCCTTAGTCACTTTCCTCAGACCCAGGACACACAACACCAACACCCGCAACTTAAAGAGGTTTATCTTGGCTCACATTTTTAGACCATGGTTAGTCAGCTGCAAGGAAGAAACAGCATAACAGAAAGACCTGGGCAGAGGAAAGCTGTTCACAGGATGGTGGCCGGAAAGCAGAGAAAGAAGAGAAAAGTAGAGAGAGAAGAGAGAAGAGAAGAGAGGATACAGACCTCCCCCCTTCCAGGGTAGGCCCCAGGGAGCCCCTTCTAACCAGGACCCCTCCTATCAGCAAGAGAGCTACAATGTCCCACTGTGTGACCAATCACATTCCCAAGCCCATGTCTGAGCTCATGAGAGTTGGGGGGGGGGGCATCCCTCATCTTAACTGTAACACTATATGGTACAGTAACAACTTCAGTCAACTACAGAGTCTCACACCTCTGCTGCTGGGCTCTCCCAGTGCTGCAACTGCCCAGTGCAGACTTCTCCAACTCCTCAGACACACTGACCTTTCAAGGCAGCCTCACTAGCCAATCTCAAAAAACTGGCCCTGTATCAGCCACTGTCTTTAAAATATTATTTTATACCACATGTACCTTGATGTATATTGGTTGCAATATTAAGTTAAAATGAGTTTCCTTTTGCTAGGGACTTACAATGAATCATCAGGATAAAAGGTCCAAAATATACCAAACCCCTACCTATTACGGTATGCAAGAAACCAGCAGATTCCCTTTAGTAATTTGTTGAATAATAAATTTTTTAAAGTAATGCTTATAAATACTAGCTCAAAAAATTCTCAAAAGAGTGCATAGATAATCCAAACTATTAACATTTTAAAATAAAAGAAGATAACCTCGGACACATAAAAAATTCACAAAACAAAAAACACAAATATAGCAAATTATAGGGATGCATTTTAGGGGCCAGGGATGTAGCACAGTGTCTGTCTGGCAAGCACAATGTCCTGAGTTGATTCCCAGAACCAAAAAAAAAAAAAATGCAATCCAAAATGTTACTTTTTATCAGACAAATTGGCAGAGGTTGAAAAGTTGTAAGCAAAAGAAGGAAATAGGCATCTCCCTCCTAGTAGGTATAATTTTGTATTTTTGGCATTTATGTATCAAGTATCTTTGAATTCCATGTAGCCCTATAACCAGTATTTCACATATAGTAATCAGTTATAATAACTGGAAAAACATGTATAGTAAAAATTGTGGTACTAACAACAATATAAAAATGTACTCAACCATAAGGGCTTGATTAAATAAATTTTACTATACCCAAACAAGACATTTTAAATCACTACACAATATTACATATTGTATAATCCCAGTTTTTAAGAATAACATTCACACAAAAATATACCTGCATAGAAAAAAATCTAGAACTATACATCTCTAAATTTTAGCAGTGATTAATTCTGTCAAAGACTACTGAAACTTTTAGTTATTCTTTTTTTCTTTTTGCTTATCTAGACCTCCCAATTTTTCTACAGTAAGCATGAGTTTTAGTGGATAAGACACATTCTTTAAAAGAACAAAAGTAAAACTGAGGATCACAATTCAAAGTAATAAAGTATCTTTATCATAACCAAACATTAAACAGTCCCATATCACACAATAACAATGTCAGGTTAATATCCAGTAAAATATCAACCAAGTTAGTATAGTCCAGTATCTTAGTATAATCTAGTGTCTTGGAATGATCTATTTTTTAAATTAGATTTTAGGAATACATAAGACTCTGTTAGGACAAGAAAAATATATAGTTATTCACACATTATAAGAAAACAAGACCTCCCAAATAAAAAGTTAGAACAAGTCCTAGAGACAGTGTTGAAAAATCACACAGCGGGGCTGGGGATTTAGCTCAGCGGCATAAGCACCTGCCTTGCAAGCAGGCGGTCGTGAGTTCGATCCCCAGTACCGATAAAAATGAAAAAGACAAAAAAAAAAAAAAAAGAAAAATCACACAGCAAAAATCTCAGGTGTTTCAAGTTGAAGATTAGCTTAAATCCTCTTTCATCCTTTTTCACTATCATTTGTGAATCTTCATTCTGATGAGAAAGCAGACACTATGAGAGTAATAGAAGATAAAAATAATAAGTTTAAGAACTCGTATTTAGGTTTGGCTAAAAAGAAAGTCCATATAGCACCTTTTATATAGCCAATTATGTTAACTTTCCCCCTAAGACTTGAATACTTTGAGAATAAAACTTAGTCAACAAGAAGAAAAGGCCCTTAATTGATTCTAGGAATGTATATATTTTAAAAGCCAAATGTTGAGCATGGTGGTACCCGCCTGCAATCCCAGCACTCAGAAAGCTGAGGCAGAAGATCACTGTGAGTTTGAGGCCAGCTTGTGCTACATAATTGAATATAAGGCCACTTGTACTACACAGGGCAAGCCTGTCTCACAAAAAAACAAATAAAATAAAAGCCAAGTATGTATATCATCAGACATTTTGTATAACTTCTAGTCAACGTCCAGGAAATTGCTTGTGACCAGGCAGAATGCTGCCTAAGAATTGTGAGCAATATCTGATTCAATATTATCCATAATGTAGCAACTTAATCCTCGTTAGAATTAATCCATACCCTAAAATTTTCAATGAAACTGGCTACCATAAGATGATCATTTCCACCAGTCTATATAAGAATATAAAACAAATTTATTCTAAATTTTCCCATATCATTAATAGCAGGATTCATCGAAAATTATTTATGGGGGCCTGGGATTTAGCTCAGTGGCATAAGCGCCTGCCTAGCAAGCATGAGGTCACGAATTTGATCCCCAGTACCAAAAAAACCAAAAAATTATGTAGGGGCACCTTCACACCTACAACAGTTTACAAGACAAGTTTCACAAGCACCACTGATGCTTCCAATGGGATTTGACAGAGGCTGTAAGAGAATGAAAAGCACTAAGAAGAATACTCACAAAGATTCCTTTAGACCTCTATTAGAAATAAACACCTTTGATGAAAAATAATGATGCACAGGAAAACTTTCCAATATAGGAGAAAAATCAAAGAAACTCACACATGGGAGATTTTGTGTTAATGGCATAAAGCAGCACAAATGACAACACGGATGTAGTTACTGTTGAAAAACAGGGAGATCTCTTTACTGATAACCCTAGTATCATTCATCTATTTATCCGGAAATACATAAAAACTACAGAGGTACCTCATTTCACAAATGCTTTGTTTGCAGACAATTTAGATTCACAAACAGAAGCATTTGGCAAACTTCTGCAAATGCCACACCGAGTGACAAACATTAACACACCCATCTTCCTCACACAAACACAAATGTGGTGGTCATGTTTTCCAAAGTCATAGAACAAATCAAGTTCAAGTTCGTGAATCAAGGTGCCACTGTATTTACATTATTCTAGGTCCTGAGAATGTAAAAAAGTAAGCAAAGCTACTGTCTTCGCAGAACATACCCTCTAGCAAGGAAGACAGATATAAAACACAGTCTTCCCTTTGTATCAGCGGGGGCTTGGTACCAGGATGCCTCTGAGACATCAAAAATCTAGAAATGCTCAAGATTATACAAAATGAAACAGTACTAACAAAAACGCATGCAGCCCCATGTACTTTCATTTCTACATGTAATACCTAACAATATAAATGTTATGTATTATAAATGCTATGTCCTTATGCTGTTTAGAAAATAATGACAAGGAAAAAGAATCTGGTCAGACATGGTAGTGCACACCTGTAATCCTGTTACTCAGACTGCTGAAGTAAGAGAACCACGAAGTTCCAGACTACCCTGGGCAAAATACAAAACCTCATCTCAAAATCTTTTTTTCAAGACAGGGTCTCACCTTGCAGTATACACTGGCCTTGAACTCACTAGGTAGCCCAGGCTGCACTCAAAACTCACAGAGATCCTCCTACCTCAACCTCCCAAATGCTGCAATTACAGGCATGTACTTTGCCTAACCCACCTCAAAATTATTTAAAAAAATTTTAAAAGGTTGGCGATATAGCACCTCTGGGTTCAACCCTTAGGATCACACACACACATACATGTATATTTATATTTTTATATATGCATGTATATATATGCATGTTTCATTACACATATCTTTTTACATATAAATTAGTGTAACTGTAAATGTCATCATGCTACTAAATTACAGGCCAGGGTGCTAGAAGAGCTTATACTCTGCCTGGAGTCAAGGAACCTTAGAACAGGAGGGTAGGGTGGGGATCCCAGGTACAGGTAGTTTGTGTGGAAGTTCCTGAAGCCAGCATGATCTCATCTAATCTAGGAACTGAAAGAGGAACTGAAGCATTCAGGTTGTTTCTGAGGTACATATCAAGTCTGATATGTGTAGACATCCAAGTTAAGAGATCAAGTTGATAGCTGCAAAAAGAATCAAAGCTCAGAATAGAGGCCTAGACCAGGTACACACTTGAAAGTCTCTGGTTTAGGGATGGTATTTAATGCTACAGGAACCAGAGACTTCTTAGGCCAGATGAGTGAGACTATATGGGCAGAAAAGGGTCAGGATTGCTTCTCAAATCACAGAAAAATTTACGCCCCCTCTCGTTGCAAACAAAAGAAATAAAATATTATGCAACTCTACACTTATAACATGATGTTCTATTTGTTAGAAGATATAAAACGTATAATGTTCTTGAAGAAATGCCAAGACTTAAGAAAAATACTGATCCCAGTGAGTGGAAGGAATTACACTACACAGTAGTTTATTTAGCAGAACACGTCCTTCTAGCCTTTTCAACGCCCCAGAAAAATGATCTTATTTTAACACACTAATACAACTAACTATGTACTTCACTAGACAGAAATGTGTTGAGCCTGCAGAATTGCCTGCTATGGAAACTACTTCATGATAAGCATTCTGACAAGTCCTGGAGGGATGTGACATCAAGAAGAGCAGAAAAATCTTTGGCTCTGCATACTCAGAAATCAACTTGCAGGACTACAACTATTGCCTTTAACAACTTGCCATGCGAAGTCACCAATGAAAATTCCATAATATGTTATCTGTCTACTAAGCAGTGACCAGGTTTCAGTAATGAAAGAGCTAAGTTAAAAGGTTTCACAATTTATGGAAGTACAACATGCCTTAAAGCAAACTCACCTGGTTTATTTGAAGCATGTTAAGACAATATTGATCAAACTTCTGTATCCCTCAGGGCTCCAAAAACTGGAAAATGAAAATGAAGAAATAAAGTTCAAGTTAGGTGGCAACCCCAATGACCAGCATTTTAAACACACACCTCTGATCAAAGTCAAATATACAATGGAGTTGATCCAGATAAGTCATAGAACTTACCATGATGAAAATGTTCTATACAGATGCTTGTTCAATCCAGCAGACACTAGCTACATGCTACTGCTGAGCATGTGAAATATGGCTAATGCAACCAAGAAAGTAAATGTTTAATTTTCCTGAATGCTAATTAAAATTTAAAGAAATACACGTAGCTATTAGACAGTGCAGCTCTAGGTTGCTGAGCAAAGTCCCTTCTAGTTCTCGAGTTCTAAAAAAAATCCCAGCAAAAGGAAAGCTGTCAACAAATCTAAAAAGTTTCAGAGTAACATGTTTTGTATATAACCCATTGCTCTAGGCGGTTTTTAAACAGTTCTGTTCCCATCTTCTATGGTAATTTATGATAAACTAATTCGAAAGAAAATGGAATACCTGCTATGGATAAGTACACATAGTCTGATAATCTTGTTAGATATATTCTTTCTTTGGTTTTGTTTTGTTTTTATTTTCCTCTTATCAGTATATTATGCACATTAAAATTTTACACAAAATTTTCTTAAAAACAACAACAGTCACTGTCACAATATAATCCAGTGGTTTTATCTGGCCAGAAAGCATCCCTTTGGTTGCATTACTTTCCATGTGATAAATTTATTAAATATTTAATTAAGAAGTAAATGCGAAAGAAGGGAAACAAACCTCAAATTTACTTGTAAATTAACCATAAGATATTAAAATGAGAGAAGTTCACATAAATCATGTACAAGCACCTTCCCCTAGAAAATTAGCTACCAATCAACACAGTAAAAGGACTAAATTCCATCATTTGGGTAGAAATTTTAATGCTGTAAAATCTTAACAATGAACTTTCCCTCAGAAGCAAAGGTTCTATAGATGTATACACAGAGACACACATGTACTTGGCTACCATTTTCTCATGATGACAACTGAAGGAGTCTGAAAACTGTATGTTTCTTATACTATTGTCCTCAGCATCTGTACTCATTTCATTGATTTTCTAAGGCAACAATTGCCAAAGAAGAGTACAAGCCCTCCATACTGGTAAACTTTAGTCTAAACTAGAGTTTAGACTAGACTTTAGAGTTTAGACTAAAATTTAGAGTTCAGTCTAAATTCTTCAGGAAAATACCTTCTAAGCCTGCCTCAAATTAATCTGTATTACCTTTGCTTTCTTTTTCTGTTTTTTAATCTTCAAAAAGTAACTAAGCAAGGTACATCTGCATATGCCTGCAATCCCAGCACTCTAGGAAGTTGAGGGAGGAGGACAGTCAAGTTTGAGCCTAACCTGGGCAACTCACAGTGCAGTGAGACTCTGTCTCACAATTAAAAAGTGGGGTGTGGTCTGGAGATATAGCTCAGTGCAAAGGACCTGGGGGTTCAACCTCCAGTATACCACCAAAACAAACAAAACACTACACTGAAAGTACTTGCAGTAGATAGCCTCCAACAAACTACAGCAAAATGAGATAAAACTTTCAAAATTAGGCTATGAAAAGTCAGATTTTGCTTTCTTTCAATCTCTTGCTTGTTCTAAGATGACAGATGCTGTATTTTGAGTTGTCCTTTTGGAGAGGTCCACATATGACAAAGAACTGAGAAACCTCTGGCCAGCAGCCATTAAAAAGTGAAGTCTCCTGTCCAATAGCCCCAAGAAACTGAATCCTGCCAAGATCCACAATAATGAATTTGGAAGAAAGTCTTTTCCACCAGTCAAACTTTAGGATGTGATTGCAGCCCCAGCCAGAAGTTTCACTGGAACCTAAGTGACCCTTAGTCACAAGCACTTATGTGCACCCTGATTAACCCACAGAAACTATAACATTTGTTAGTATAAGCCCTTAGATTCTGAGGTAATTTGTTGTGAAATAAATAAGGCAATCCAATTCAACTCTAAAACTCAATGCTCTCATAGTACTTTATTAATTAACCTGTAATAAATTCCCTGCTCAACATGAGCAAACAAGTTGGAATCTGAATGTGGTAAATTATAAATCTCACATTTATATGTTTAATTCAAAAAAAGAGGTCATTAGGAGTGGGGATATGGCTCTGCAGCACTGCTCCAGGTGCAAGGTCCTGAGTACGATTCCCAGTACAAAAAAAATAGAGGCTGGGGATTTAACTCAGCAGCACAAGCACCTGCCTGGCATGCTCTTAGGTTGAGTTCAATCCCTAATACCTGGGGCTGGGGATTTAGCTCAGCGGTGTAAGTACCTGCCTTGCAAGCAGGCAGTTGTGAGTTTGATCCCCCGGTACTGATTTAAAAAAAGAAAAAAAAAAAATAACCAATCCCTAATACCAAAAAAAAAAAAAAAGTCATTAAAAAGTGTACATTCATTAACTAGTATTACAATATGCTAAACCAATTTTCTCTTTAACTGAATTCATTCCAAACAATCCATTTGGAAAGTTGTAAATAAATCACTAAAAGTACTTTAGTGATTTATTGTCCTTTATTTTCCTAAATTTAGCATTATTTAAGCATGCATGAACTCTTAGAAATTCATGGTGATTTTATTTACTATAAACCTATGAACATGAAAACTGTGCATATTTTTTCAGTATTAGAGTTTGGTAATATAAGTGACTGACTCCAAAAAGTAGGCACAATAAGATATAGAGACACACTCTTTAAAATTCTTATCTTCTAATATACATAAGGTATTTTATGAAGTAACAAAAATGAAAGTATCTATTCCTTTAAAATTGACTACTGTAACCAGGCATGGTGATACATGTAATATTAGTGCTCTGAAGATAAGCACATGTTCAAGCCAAGTCTATACAACTGAGTGAGAATTCTATCTTAAAAAATAAAAGCGCCAGGAATGTAACTCCTTGCAAGGGGCCTAGATTCAATCCCCAGAATTGAAAATAAATAATAATACCTACAATTTTAAGCCTTTCCTTCACAATTATGAAACATTACATAATAAACCGAAACACATGAAACTAGTCTGTGTATAACAGCACACTGAGGTAAGTAGAATATGCTAGCTGTTCTTTTTCATCAAAGAAGTTATTACATTGATATAAAAATATAATTCACAATTACATGCCTACTACAGTGACACATGTTTTTAAGACTTCATTTCTTCACAAACATACCCAGTCCACGGTCTTCCATTTTAAACAACTTGATAAAATCTCAAATACATCAATAAGATGCAGACCAGTCTTTTACTATCTGTGGTTTTACAACATCGACCTCACTCCTGTGTCAAAACAGTTTCCAGAGCCCAGCATTGCCACTCACAAGTGTAACCCTAGCTGCGGCAGGAAAACTGCCACAAAGATGAGGCCAGTCTGTGTCACACAGCGAGTTCGAGGCCGGCCTGAACTACACAGCAAGACCTGTCTCAAAAAGAAAAATTTCCAGCTACAGTAAAATCCAATTACAACTAAGTACTTTTGGAGAAATCTACTCGCATGCTTCAAAAATGTCCTACAGTGGTATCCAGTCATGCACTTTAGAACACACAGTTCCAGACTCTAAGCTACCAAACAAACACAAAAAACAGGTGGGGCAGTAGATGAAGAAAGCATTACAAACAGGGGAAGACTTACTGCTCAAGAGGAATTAAACATTCAACCTCTATTAGCTGATGTAACACACTCCTACAATGAATTGTGTTGTGCCCATCTGATAAAAGCTGTACAAAATTAAATTTTTGTAATTCTGAATAAAAACTACTTTACATGACATGGTAATTAAATAAATATCTATAAACTTATTTATAAGCACCCATTTGGCAATATGAAAAGTGAAAGCATTTACTATTATCATTCTCAGACCAAAAACAATCACCAAACTACATACCAATTAAAAAGCACTCCACTCTAAAAAATCCATAAGGTTATTAAAAACTTTTTTCATTTTAATTTTTAAAATAGATACCAAAAGACCTGCTTTAAAATTAGGAAAATAAAATTATAAGCTTTAGTGCCACCTAAAAGCCTATGACAGATTCTGAGTACTATATATAAAAGTGTTACTCTACAAGCTGCCCCACTGACAAACTCCACATACCACCAGTCAAGACAAAAAGGCAACTAAGATTCATCAGATACCAATTTTATATGCCCAGTGACATTTCGTTATACTTACATGGACTCATGTAAGCCTCAGTCTTTAGGAGGTAAATCTTATCCCATTTTCCTAGAGGTTCGTGTATCTGCCCATAGTGTCACTTACAGGATTAAAACACAGTTCACACAGGATCTAAATCATCTCTTCAAGACCTGCCTTCTTAAATTTTCTCCTATACCAAAATCAAGAGTTTAACCTCTAAGACAACACAATGGCAAGGGAACTACATAAAACTTTGGGGAGTTATTAAAAAAAATCAAACAGTGATATAATTATTACACCATAAAATGTTATAGTTCTTATCATACTAAATATTCATGTAATATCTTGAGTGCCTAGCAAAGCATGAATATATCAACAAGCAGGTAATCATACTTGAAGGCTGCATACTGAACTCTGCACAATCTAGTGAATAAACAGACAACTCTGCCATATCTAGACTTCCTGCTCTCAAAAAGAGTACAAGAAAAGGAAATAATAACGAAATCAAGAGGTTAGGTACAAACAAAACATTTTGACCAAAAACGTATTTTAGGTAACATCTCAGCCTCACTTTCTGTGCTTAAAGCTTGATTACTATCTTAAAAATGTTTCTCTTCTTTACAGAAAAGATAAATCCACTCTTTCAAGAATTTTATTTCAAGCAAGACAAGAATAACAAAATGTAAAATTGTTAAGGTTTCCTGTGAGGAAATATTTAGGAGTAAGGGACCATAATATATATATTTTACCCCTACAGGGTCTACATAAGAAATATTTTCTGTAAATGGAAATAAATTAAAAATACAAAAAAAGAGAAAATAATAAATGGGTAAATTGAGAA